TCTGGTGGAGGGTAGATGGGGTGAGTAAGTAGGGTTATAGTTGAACTAAAATTGGTCAGTTGTAGCTGGGTGGTTTGTGATGCTATTGTATCTACTTTTGTATTACTGTTGAATTCAGCATATTTCCTAAAATTTTTATAATAAGAAAGATCTAGTCTCAGCCTTCAAGGATTTTAAGAGACAATTAAACAATAACAGTAATACAGTATCAGAGCCATAATAGAGGTCTGTATATATTGCTATGGGAGTGCAGATGTATAGAGTAGGGACAGGGGAAAGGCTGGCGAGTGAAGCTTCCACCAGGGCCAGAAAGACAACTTGAATGACTTTGTAGGCAAAAGAAGAGCAAGTATTGTGGTGTGGAACTGTGAAATTATTTAGCCTGCTGAGGGTGCATCAGGTTAGGAAACTAAACTAATCACCTTGTAAGAATTTCAGTGAGAGAGGTTAGAAGGCAACAGATAGGGGGTTGTAGTTAGGGAAGGTCCCTCCTTTTTTTTTTTTTATTAACTTGAATTAAAATTTTAAAATAMTTGATGTTTATGCCATGTTTAGAGAAATTGTAGTGGAGTCGCTAAAGGTTTACCTTCAGAAGTTTTCATAATAGTGATTTAACAAGTTTACCCTTTCTCTTCTGCCATCATCCCTAGATTTAGCTAATAGCCAACAAAATTTTGTTGTYATCAGCTATGTTTAACTTATAGTTGGGTCCTTGATAGAGAAATCTAGGTCCAAAGTACTAGATTTGAACCTTATAACTCATGTATTCTGTTTGTATTCATCTCTATAATATAGAACCATTCACTATCCTATTATTACAGTTAGGCAAATATTTATTCTGCCACCTAAAGGATATATCAGATGGTTAAAATTTTCACCTGTATGAGCTTATTTATTCAAGAGAAAACAAAGTGATTTATGTAAGGAATTTCCCTAAAAACAGAAGACTGAAATGTACTTTCTAAAATTAGAAAAGTGGGATAGTATATTTATATCACCTTATTTCTCTAAATAATAAAATTATTTAACATTTTATATAGCTTTAATATACTTAGAATATATATATATATGTGTGTGTGTGTRTATATATATATATATATATATATATATATATATGTATGTTTGTTTGTTTGTTTGTTTTGGGGCTTAAAAGTACAACCCAGAAAACAAATGGAATTGTTTGTAAACACACAAAAAAGTTTTGTCTGTTGGACTTGTTTTGTTCTCAGAAATCCTAAATGTTAATATTATTTTCAAATGGTAACCTCTCTAAAATGATGGGCAGAAGAGGAAATGATGTGGTTGAGTGACTAAAGGATCTAGCAAAGGGTGGGAATGGGATAAATTGTAATTGTTTAATTGAATCAGACCTGRCAAGTCTTTTTAATAGAGAGTAGGTATATGACAACCAGTTAGGATAAAAGGCTGCTATTGTTTTAAAGCCTTTGGAGGCCAGTTGTGTATCTCAGTGATAGAGCACTTGCCTAACATGTATGATGTCCTGGGTTCCATCCTCTGTTCTTAAAAACAAAACAAAAAACAAAATACCCACCTCATGTAAATCACTGTAGAAAATAGAGTTGAGACCAAACAAGTTACCCATAGTGCTATTTACTGTGCCATAACCACTGGTTGTGCTTGTTTTAAAAATCCATTCTGCCTCTTTGTTATTTAGTTAGTATATAAYTATCTTAACACTACAGTAGTGATATATGAACAATTTTAAATAATATTTTAAGCTAACAAATTTGTATTTGAAAGTTATAAGCAATATGAAATTATTTGAGCAGATACAAATGATTATATAGCTTTAATATATTTAGAAAATGTATATATTTTGGGGGGCTTAAAAAAAGTACAGCACAAAAACATAAATGGAATTGTTTGTAATCACACAAAAAAGTTTTATCTGTTGGATTTGTTTTGTTCTCAGGAAATGCTAGTGAATTACTTAAATTGTTCATGAGAAATAAAAGTGCCCTAGCCAACATGTTTTGAGCATGTGTGTCCGAGCTTTCTTCTAAGTGATTTACATTAACTCAGTCCTCACAGCAATAAGAAGTGGGCACTTTGCCATCATTTCAGATAGAAGTTAAATAATTTACCTGCCATGGCTGGTAAGTGGGAAGCTAGGTAGCCTGGTTCTGGAATCCATGGCCTTACCATTCTGAACTGGTATAATTTCAAATTTAAAACTATGGAATTTGTATCTTAAGCCATATAAAAAATGGGGTGKGGTGTTTAACAGGAAAGCAGGTCTTCAATGGGAAGTTTCAAAATCAATTTATACTTCCTCCAGTGGTGTATGAAATTGTAAGATTCCCTGTATCCTTTCAGTAATGGATAGAATGAATGTAAGCAAATATTTGTCAACTTGATAGGAAAAAAAGAATTGTTGCTTTAATTTGTGTTTTTGTGTTCTAGGGAGTTTGAACATATTTTCATGTTAGTGACTGCTTTCATTTCTTGTTTTAGAAATTGTTTGTTCATGTTCTTTTACCATTTTTTTTAAACTGATGTCTTATTCATATTGATCTGGAAGAGCTTTATATCTGTATCTTTGTTGCTTGGTCAGTCATAGCTTTGAGAGTAGCCTGTGTCTCTGTATAGTGATTTTCTGTTTCTGTCATTTTCCCCTGTATTTCAAAGTTTTTTTTTWAAAGTATTTAATTTTGTGATAATTGTTACATTAAGGTTCTTGGCTATTTTATATTCACTGTAAAAGGGTCTAGTTTGTCACATTATGACTTTTGTCTTGAATTCTACATTGTTCTATATTAATACTGTTACATATCCCCTTCTTTTTTTTTTATCTTTTGCACATTATCCTCTCATGCTTGATTTTAGCATCAGATTTTTAGAAGGATGTATATATAGGTAAAGGAAGTCCTGAGGATCCAGTAGAACTGAAAACTGGCTTAATCTGGAGGGTTGTGTGTATGTATGTCTAAAAGGGTGTGTTTTTTAAAGAGATGACATTTTTAATATCGGCTTTATTGCTAAGTTGTCAAGGTTTGACATTAACTCTGTAGTAAGGTTTTCCCTTACAGGTGTACAAATAATTATTTTTTATTTTTACTGAATCTTGGTAAAAATCTTCTTCTTACTAGATTGTGGCATTTTCTTAGAGAGAGAGAGTGGCAGAGAATGTGTGAGAGAGCATGCACATGTGTACACTTAGACATCATGGCTTTTGTTTTTGTTTTCCTGTGGCTCTAGGGGGTCTTATTCTTCCTGGACAAGTGCTCTACTGCTGAGCTATACCCTAACCCCTGCTTCATGTCACTCCAGGTGAACTGGACTGCACGAAATAATCACACAGACAGAGAAATACTTTTTTCTTTGGGTCCTGTGCCAGCTTCTCTGATCTTAGGGGTCCATGGAAAGAGAGAGAGCATGGGGCATGTGCTGAACCCTTTTATTGGGGATAAGACATTCAAATGAGGCAAGGGGTCAGGTGTCAGGGGGTTGGGTCTAGCTTCCTGATGTCTGTTGTCAGCAGATTGACTGACATTGAGAAAGGCCATGCCTATCTCTTGAGATGTGTGGGGGTCAAAGGCAGAGCAAGCGGAAAGACCAGAGCGAGTCCCACCCAAACAGAGAGGCCTGTCAGGTCAGTCCACTGTGTGCACTCAATGCCCCTAGTTCTCACACAGCCCATGGCTGGCTTGCCACAGCTCCACATTTCAATGGCTCAGGGCTAAGGGGTGCTAGGTTCCTATGGGGCAGCTCCCAACACTCTCTAAACTAAAAAAGTAAGAATGGGCCATTCTTCTTTCAGCATGGTTTTTAAATTTCATGTTTTATTTATTTATTTATTTATTTTTAATCTGTAGGGGGTTTACCCTGTGCAGAGGTTGGGGCATTTGCGTGAGGAAGCCTTGTGGGTGTGGTTATAGTGAAGCAGGCACATGACCTTTTTTGGCATGGGCAAGAGGAACAGTCAAATGCTTGCTGATTTACATGTGAGAAGTCTTTTAATTGAGAGATCTTTTTAAGGATCATTTCTCTTTTTTGATGGATAGATTTTTAAAATTAACATTATATATCTTTAAAAATCACTGTATGGAATATAAACAGCAATCATGACAACGGATAAGTAAGTAAATGAAATGCCTTCTCAGCCTTATAAAAGGTAAATTGTGGGCCAAAGAATGACCCTAAATGGCTCTGAAACTGTAGTGGGAAAAGTATAAAGGGGTAGGGTAACATGTTGATGCTACTTGGTCAAACTGTGTAGCCCAGGTAGTCTGGGTTTGAGTGTTGCCACTCCTGGTAATCAGTTTTGTGACCTTAGGCAAGAACTCAAATATGTTTGTTTGCCTCATTTGGAAGATGAGGTTAGTAATTGTATTTTGTAGAGTAGCTGTGAGACATAATCAGGGCTTACTTGTTAGCATGGTGCCTGAAGTTGTCTCAGTAAAGATTACTTCTTAATTACTAACTGAAACATCTCACTGGAGGTCACTCCATTGTTGACTGCTTATGGGTGAAGTATGGATTTCCTGATCTTCTCCAACAAAGACAGACTTCTGTAAGGTGTTCATGTAACCTAGATCTTCCAAAGGTCATCCGCTTCAGCTTCTTGCCCTGAGGGAGATAATTGGCATCTCTATTTTTCAATTATGGAAAATAAATATTTCTCAAGGGCTGTCCTAGGCTGAACACTGGGAGATGAGAAGACAAAACAAAAGGCTTATTCACAGTTTTCTGGCAGAATAATGTAAAGCCTTAAGTGCTGTGATAATGTGCAAGGTACTTGATCCATCCAGTGTGGACCTGAGAAGTGAGCCAGGTTGATTTTTCAAGGTAAACTGCTGTTGTTTTTCTTTTTGCAATTGAGGTGAGATTCATAACATAAAATTAATCACGTAAGGTGAAAATTCAGTGGCATCTTGTGTATCTACAGTATTGTGTAAATACTGTATTATGTAGTACCAAACATTTCCATTACCTCAGAAGGAAACTGTGGACCCATTAAGTAGTTGCTTTCCACCTACCTTTCCCTATCCCATGGCAATCAACAGTTTACAGAGTGAGCCTCTTAGTCGGAGGCTTCTAGGATGTGACAGAAGTAATCCAGGAAAGGATAGAATACCTATCAGAGGGAAGAACAGACATAGAAGAGAAATATGATGTTGGGGGAAGGGAGCAGTTAGATTGTCAGCTCAGCTTTCCTGAATCCTAGAATGATATCAGTGGGCTTGGGTGGAAAATAGGCAGAGAGGAAGTTGTAATGGTTTTAAATATACCATCTATAAGTGTTTGTACTTTGTCCTGTGGACCCAGAGGTGACAATCACATGACCAAGTGTGTTTCTAATGAATTACTAGTAGTAGTTTTGTTCAGAAGAGATTGGAGGAGATGGAACTTGGAGTAGTAGATCTTTTATAAAACTGCCTCAGTGGCATAGGCAAGAATTAGTGAGGGCCTGAATCCTTTAGTACTGGAAGTAAATGGAGAGAAGGGTACCAGAGATCCAAAGTTCTAACTCACTAGTCACACAGCAAACAGATTCTCAAGCCCCTACCTACTTGTCCTGTGTGATTCCCACTGAGTCCCCTGGGTATCTGATTGGATGTAATTATGTTCTGATGGGGTGAGAGGACACTGCCTACAACTTCCTATATATTAACAACATTTTTTAAAAAGCACACTTATAATTAGTTTGGAAGAATGGCTCAATGTTCTGATGATGTTTGGAAAATATCTTAGTTTAACATTATGAAGATAATTTTTAGAAGGTAATTTGTTTTCTTTGAATTTTTAATAGAAAAAGAATAGTAGTACCATGATCTAGGATCTTCCTGCCTACTACTTAGACCCAAAGGTTAATATATTGCTGCATTTGCTCTATTTGAAAATGTGCATATCAAATTTTATGTACATAGTACACTCATTTTTCACTGAATGATTTGAAAGCAAATCACAGTATTTTATTTCACTGTTAAATACCGTAGTATGCATCACTTAAGAATAATAATCTTCTTAAATATCTTTAATATAATGCCGATATTTGAAATTGGACCTTTTATTTAAAGGTGAGGAAACTCAGCGATATGAAAAAGTTGTGTTTTCTAATTTCTCAGGCCCCTTTACCTTGCATTGTACATGGTAACACCAACTTTCAAACTTTAGTAATAATATTAGTTCCTTATTTTTATGATTTTTGTCACATCCATAAAACATTTATAATAATTGCTAATGTGCTTTTAAGTTGATTCATTTAAAAAATATATAAATACCAATATATTTATTTAGAGAGGAAACTGTGCCAGATGCTGAGTAAAGGGGTTACTGGCAGTCCTCTGCACTGCAGAGTATCTCTCTGATTAGCATCTGGGGAAGGAGCATTAGTAAGGGTAGTGGCAGGTGGGAAGAGAGTGTTGATGCAGCTGCATGTGAGTACTTGCGCTGTACTGGKCTTGTCACTAGGTTGAAGCAGGGACCAGAGCTCTGGAACAGGCTGTCATTGGTCCTTTTGCTTGTATTACTGACTTCATGCCTCTGCAGTTATCCTTGCAGCAGGCTTATACTGAGTGATGTGGTATCTTAGGAGGAAATTCTAGAAGACTGTTACCACATTTGTCTTTGTGCCAGTGAGACAGTTGCCTGCATAGTATTGTGTAGACCACACTTAGATGCTCAGTTCTACATTCTGCTACTAAGTGAATATTTTCCTATTTGTAGACTGACTGATTTTTTAAAAAAATTCTTTATAGCTAAGAATTATAATTTATCGAAATTCTTTTTGAAATAATTATTATTTAGTATTTAAATTATATTTGAACACATTTTTAAAAACACATGTTCTTTATGCAAGGCACTGTGTTGTCTGAGGAACAAAACAAAAATTTCATTGTATGTCCATGAGTATTTGAAATTTATTGTTCTTTGAATTTTTTTAAATTTAAAATAAATCACCTAAATTTATGTTTAAGAATATAATGTAATTTCTGAATAGGGTATAGCTTATTGAATTATTCAAAATAGCTCATGGTTGTCTATAGTGGATTATTAGTGTGTCCATTGTTTTGACTGCTAAATAATTCTTCTAGTTTAGAATATTAGGATAATAGCTATTTATTTTCTCACATTAGTTTTATTAGGATCTTAAAAAAATAAATGTTTTCTTTAACATGTTTATTCAGTTATTTTGCTTTTCCCTCCGAATATAAAGAAATTTGATGCAATGCTAAAAACATCTTCTTTCATTTTTAAGTATTAATACCACTAAAGTAGAGACATTCTGTAGCAAAAAGATCAGGGACGATAGACAAGATATCAAAAAAATCTTGATTCAGGTGCAGGTAGTGCTGCTAAAGTGTCTGTGACTTGAGCAAAGCACTTTATCTCAGAAAGTTTTGAGTTATTTCTCTTGGGGACACCACTTACCTTTCTAACTTACCAGAAATTTTAGGTTCTAAAAAGAATGGAAATATTTTGGAAACTGTCGAACAGAAGGTATAGAAATTTAAGCAATGGTCATTGTCTGTCAATTAAACCATTACATTAATTTTTGTTGGCTATATACAGAATTGCTCTGGTCCAGTTCTGAAAATGAAATGTGTTGCTCATATTTTTATGAGGTGAAGAGTAAGATTTATTGCTTATAGTGGAATTAAAAGATTTGAATTCTAATTCAAACTGCTCATATTGATTCCATGAGTGGTAAATATGAATACCGCTTTTGTTTTTGTACAATGCAGTTTTGAGTTGGTTAACTGAATAAAGCAAGTTGAGATGGAACAATCCTTGTAAATGTGACAAAATACACATTTTTTTCCCCCAAGAAATCTTCAGAGTACAGAAGTGAATGAGAACCCTAGATTTAGAGCATTTTGTAAGCCATGGAAAACATTACACTTGCATGTTTGATGAGAAGTTGAAGTATTCTGTGTTTGTTATAAGCTTTTCATTCCATAGCATCATTCACAGCTGTTAATAAGCTCTTTCTACTAGTTGATACTGATAAAATCCTGGCTTATTTTGCTGGGGACATTTCTTTGGAATTCTGTTGAGAACACTGTATCTACATGTGTATTTGCTATTGTATAATTTATTACTATGAGATTAAAAAATTTCAGCAAAGTTGAGTTCCACTAATATTTAAGGCTTTATTTTTATTTATTTATTTTTGGATTTCACACTTTTGTTACATACCCCTATTTTCTTCTGTCATTCTGGGAACCCAGTCCCTTATGTACTGCTCTCCTTAGATCTAGGGTGAGCCTGGTTTATATTGATAGATTTTTGTCCACTAGTGTTTAAGATTTAGAAATACTTCTCTGAAGCAAACCCACATAAATATGGTTATCTCATACCAAAGATGCTAAAAACATACATTGGACAAAAGACAGCCTCTTCAACAAAAGGGTGCTGGGAAAACTGGAAATCCACGTGTAGCAAAATGAGATTAAATCTCTATCTCTAACCCTACGCAAAGCTCAACTCAAACTGGATCAAAGATTTAGGCACTAGAACAGAGATCCTGCACCTAATACAAGAAAAAGTAGGTCCAAATATTCATCATGTGGGCCTGACTTCCTTAATTAGACTCCTAAAGTGTAAGAAGTAAAATCAGTAATCAATAATCAAAACTAAATCAAAAATCAAACTAAAAGYTCAGCAAAAAAAACAAAACAAAACAAATCAATAGTGTGAAGAGAGAGCCTACAGAGCGGGAGAAAATCTTTACCACATGCACCTCAGATAGAGTGCTAATCTCCAGGGTATATAAAGAACTAAAAAAAACTTAATGCCAACTCCCCCCAAAACAACAACAAACAAACAAACAAACAAACAAAAACCAAATAACCCAATCAGTATAAGGGCTAAGGAACTGAACAGACATTTCTCAGAAGAAGAAATACAATCGATCAACAAATATACGAAAAAATGTTCAATATCAACATCTCTAGCAATTAGAGAAATGCAAATCAAAACTACTTTAAGGTTTCATCTCACTCCATTCAGAATGGCAATTATTAAGAACACAAGCAATAATAAGTCTTGGTGAGGATGTGGGGAAAAAGGTACACTCATACATTGCTGGTGGGACTGCAAATTGGTGCAACCACTCTGGAAAGCAGTATGGAGATGCCTTAGAAAACTTGGAATGGAACTCCCATTTGACCTAGTTATCCCACTCCTTGGCATATACCCAGGGGACTTAAAATCAGCATACTATAGTGATGAACCACATCAATTTTTTGGGGGGGGGCGGGTATTAGGGATTGAACTTGGGCACTTGGCCACTGAACCGTATCCCCAGCCTTATTTTGTGTTTTATTTAGAGACAGGGATTCACTGAGTTGCTTAGCACCTTGCTGTTGCTGAGGCTGGCTTTGAACTCATCATCCTCCTGTCTTATCCTCTGTGCCCGCCCACATCAATGTTTATAGCAGCTCAATTCACAATAGCTAAACTATGGAACCAAGCTAGATACCTTTCAACAGATGAATGGATAAAGGAACTGTGGTACATATACATAATGGAGTATTACTCAGCCTTAAACATGAATGAAATTATGGCATTTGCAGGTAAATGGTTGGAGCTGGAGAACATTATGCTAAGTGAAATAAGTCAACCCCCTCAAAATCAAAGGCYGAATGCTTTCTCTGATAAGCAGTTGCTGATCCATAGTGAGGGGGCAGGTAGGAAAGAATGGAGGAACTTTGGATTGGGCAGAGGGGAGGGTGGGGATGTGGAGGTGGGAAAGACAGTGGAATGAGATGGACATTATTTCCCTCTCTATATATGTACGACTACACGACTGGTGTGATTCTGCATCATGTACAGCCAGAGGAATGAGAAGTTGTGCTGTATTTATGTACAATGTGTCAAAATACTGTCATGTATAACTAATTAGAACAAATTTTAAAAAAATAAATAAATGAAAAAGAAAGAAATACTTTTCTGAGTTGGTAAAGGTTACTGGAGGCTAACAAATGTATTTATGATCCATTATATTTTATCTTCATTCAACAAATATATATTTAGCACCTACTATATGCCAAGTACCTTTTCTTTTTCTCCTCCCTGCCTTCTTTCCTCTTCCTTCCCACCCTTCGTCTCCCTTTCTCCCTCCTTCCTTCC